AAATTTTACAACAGGAGTTACCAACAAATTCAGTACACCTAACAGAGTCTCAAAAGTGTAATTGCCACTACAGTCTAGCAGCTTTCTCTGGACAGAAATAGCAAGTTTTCTCCATGTCAGTACTTAGAGGTGACACACAACCCTCTGCATAAATGCCTTTATAGCAGAATCAGGCAGATGTTGAAGTTAAGACTGCAAGGAAAGGGTTTGGAAATAGAAAACAGTTTTGAAAATTGTATTTATATAATCATCTTATATGCAGTACTAGGGATTAATGAACTTGTGTTCTGAAATCAAAACCAGAAATGTTGCACCTTCTTATCATTTAAAACAAATGCTTTGAACTTTTGGTTTCAAATCTTTTTCCTCATAATAAAAAAGATATTTTAAGTAGATATATAGCCTCATCGTAAAAACTTTCACAGCTTAAAATTACACTTTTTTCATCCCCCTAAAAGTTTGATTCAGATAAGCCTCAGATTATTTCTCAGGCATTTCTGTGGAATAGAGGCTGGTAAAGGCCAATCCCTGACATTCTCTAGGCTACATAAGCACTGCAGGCCCTAGGGCTGCTCAGACTGGAGGACCTGAACTGAACTTCACTTGAAAAACTGGCAAGAGTCAGTGCAAACCCTCAGCAGAACTAAAGCCTTTGTGCTTGGTTTTAAGTGAACCCAGAAGTATCCCAGAGCAAGTGATTTGAAGTGGCTAGGGGTGTTTCTTTTTCCCCTTTCTAAAATATTTTATTTACAGTTGTGCTGATTTCCTGAAGTGAAATATGAACAGTCTGAAGTGCAGCAAAAATTAAGCCTGCAACCTCAGTGCCCTGGGAGAGATGCTGTCTTGCATCTCCACGGTCTGGGCTGGGAGGTTTCCTTTCCCCTCAGTGGCCTGGAGAGAGGCTGGGGAGCACTATTAGGGGGCTCACACCCTCCCTCCAAACCCAGGCAAAGGAACACCCCATGAAGCTGCAAATGACATCCTTGGATTTCTCTTTGTCTATCTGGGTTGCTTTATGCCCTGGCAGCAGGTGGGGGAATGGGGGGTAGCTAGAAAAGCAGATCCTGCACTGATCTGGAGGGGAGCACAGTGTTCCTTGTCCCTGCTCTTTCCCACATCCCTAAGAGAGGGGAAAGGCGCCAAGCCTGAACAAGCAGGAGCTTTGTAGCCACTTGTGCTGGCTGTTCCCCTCAGGGCAGGTTTGAAATAGAAGAGAGGCTGTCTGATCCCCAGCCCTCAGTGGAGCCCAGGAAGCAGTGACGTTTACAGGGTCCTGCAGCAGGGAGAAAGCAACTCAGCTCCCTCTCCCCGCCATAGACAAACACACAGGATGGGAGGGCTGCTTGCAACTCCAGCTTGAGGGGACGTGGTTAAGGCCTTCCAGCCTCAGTCCACCCCAGCCAGCCCCTCACCTCCCTGTGCTGCTTTGCACATCCTGCATCCTCCCTGTCTGGGATCCCATCACCCTCATTGGTCCTTGCTCCCCAGCACAGGCAGAAGCACTAAAAAGCATCATAGAGACATCCCACCACTACCTCGTCCTAGTCCTGTTCTCCAGCTCAAGGTGCATCTTCCAGACAGCAACATCCATCAAGTGTCTCCGAGGGCAGACAAAACCGCAAAAGAGCATCTCTCACACACAAGTCCTCCTTTACTCATCCCTCCTCCCCTTGTCCTGACCAGGCATTCAATATCCCCAGGCCACATCTGGCACTGTGCCAGCCCCCAGAGCCCCCTGCCCTCTCAGCAGTGCTGCTCCATGGAGCTGGCAGGCAGCAGGTCATAGCGGCTGCTGTACATCACCACCCCGGGCGGGTAATAGGCCACCTCTGCCTGCACGGCTGCAGCACGGGGAGCAGCAGGGACAGGCTGGACAGGCATCACGGCATGCAGGGCCTGCTCCTCCTTCTCAGGCTTGGTGGTGTCAGTGAAAGGGCGCATGGTGGTGAGGGAAGGGGAGGTGATCCTCCAGAGGAGGCTCTTCAGTGCCTTGCGGAACTCCCTGCGCATGAGGCAGTAGAGGATGGGATTGAGGCAGCTGTTGGAGTGTGCCAGGCACACACTGATGGGGAAGAGGTACACTTGGGAGAGAAAGTACTCGTTGCTGAAGGGCACCACGTTGAGTTTGATGAGTATCCCCCAGGTTGTAAGTGCTTGGTTAGGCAGCCAGCACAAGAAGAAGGACAGCACCACGATGGACACTGACCTAGTCACTTTGGAGCGGCGCTTGATGCTGGGGCCGCTGCAGGTGCTGCCCACGTGCTTGTCACTGATGAAGCGCACCAGGAGCAAGTAGCAGAGGCTAATGACAACCAGCGGCACCAGGAAGCCCAGCAGCACCTTCTGGATGTGGTACAGACCCAGCCAGAATTGGGCATTGTTGCCTCGGCCCTCTGGGAACTTGACAAGACAGAGGACATCATCAAAGACAGTGGCAGTGGTGGAAAAAATGGCATGGGGCAGGGAAGCCAGGACAGCTGACAGCCAGATGAGTGCACAAAGCCACTTGGCAGAGCAGCAGCCACCCAGCGGGTCTCCTCGACGCTGATTCTTCAAGGCTGAAGCCACAGAGCGGTATCGAGCCACACTCATGGCAGTGAGAAAGAACACACTGGCATACATGTTCATTGCTGTCACATAGGAGACAATCTTACACATTGCCTTGCCAAAGAGCCAGTTGAAGTCCAGTGCGTTCTCCACTGCCCAGAATGGCAAGGTCAGCACAAACTGGAAGTCAGTCACTGCCAGGCTGGTGACAAAGAGATTGATGGAGGATTTCCTCCAGCCCTGCTTACTTTTCATCAGGTAGAGCACCAGCAGGTTGCCCACCAGTCCCAGGGCACACACCACGGAGTACACCAGTGAAATGACAATCCGCACCACGTCAGAACTGTCCCCCTGCATCCCGTCGGCTCGCTCCAGGTTGATAGTCTTCAAGAACTGCAGGAAGGACACGTTGCTCCCGTTGTCCATCTGAGTGCTCTCCAGGAAAGCCAGCGGCGTGTCCCAGGACTCCCTGTCCGCTCCTTCCTTTATGCCAGCGGCAGGCGAGCAGGCACCACGCTCGCAGGGCTCGCCCATCCCATACTAGGGTGGGAGACGGGTCCGCGGGAGCTTTTTCCCCAGAGGCTGACCAGCGACGGCGGCGGGCGCGCTGCTGGAGAGGCGGCAGGGTCCGGGCAAGGCACAGCACGGCGAGGTGCCGGCGGTGCGGTGCCGGCTGTGCGGGGACTCGGCTGTGCGGGGACACGGCCGGAGAGGTGGCACGGCTGGAGAGGTGACAGGGCTGGCGCACTGGCACAACTGGCGCCGCCGGGCTCCGCGCCGCGCTTTTATCCGCGCCGGCGGGGCGGGGCATGCGCGGTGGGCGCGGAGCTCTCCCCGGTGCTGAGCGCGGCCCCCGCGCCCCCGCTGCCCCCACGGCTGCTCCCGCCGATCGCCCCGTTCCGTCCCGTTCCGTTCCGTTTCATCTCGTCCCTTTCCTTCTCGTCCTGCCCCATCCCGACCTGTTCCGTCCCTTCTCGTCCCGTCCCGCACACCTGACGGGGAACGGCGCCTGTGACTCAACTGGGCGCTCCCTCGGGCTCAGTGCGGCAATTGCCCGGCTGAGGCGATGCCCTCTATTCCCCGACGGTGTCATACTGCCTTCCCCTATATGATCCCCCATCTCCTGATGTGATCCCCCCTCCTCCGACGTGATCCTCCCAATCCCGATACGATTCCCCTCCCCGATGTGCTCCCCTCCGATCAGCGCTCACAGAACCTTTCCCCTCCTGCGTGGGGACAAGTTTTGGGGATGCTGCCCCTTCGCTGAGCCGCAGGATGACCCGGAAACCACCCGCGCCTTCGCGCTTGAGAAACCTCGGCACCGAGCCGGACCGCGCCTCCCCTGAACGACCGCACTCCGGACATCAACCCACGAACGCCCCTCCTGCTTTTGGGACTTGGGGAGACGGCGTCTCTCCCTCATTTTAAAGTGAAGGCGCGGACAAGGCAGCTGTAAATGCCGGCTGTCCATGGCTGTAGCGCTCGGGGGAAGGCGAGAGCAGCAGCCGCCGCTCCCCGAGGCAGAGGGAAGGATCCCGCCCGCAGGGGGCCCCCCTGTCCTGCGCGGGGCCCGAACATCGCTTCCCCACCAAGTCTGCTGCAAAAACAGACAGCAAGCGATGGGAACAGGAACCCAGCCTTTCCTTCTTCTGTTCCGCTTCTAAATAAATCAAGATAACGGCGCATTTTTAAAACCAAATAGATTTTGAATATACCTAAGTAAAGCACTGTGAATCAGCCATCCGGGGGAGATTTACGGAACATTTAACAATTATATTATTTTTGCATTGATTTATCTCACAGAACTTCCTGCAAAGACATAGTCGAGTGTACTATTTGTTATCAGCAGTCCACTCGTCACTTTGATTTGTATCTGCAGGGACCCTGTAAAAGTATCAGCCAGATGATGGTATGGGAGTGTTAAAGGGGAAGAAGAGTAATTAAAAGTTTTAGACACCATTCATATTGCTTAGAGTGAGGGTGCAATTTACTGGAATTAGCAATGCAAAGCTCTGGAAAGGTTTAGTCTGCAGATCACTTGGTATAATAAATAGCTTGGTACCAGAATGACCAAAAAAAAAAAAAAAAAAAAAAGGAAGAATTGACTGACCACATCAGGCCTCAAAAAATGGACCCCTGACATGGTTTCCTGGTTTAAGGGTTTAAACAATGGTTTCCTGTTATGGTTTAACCCCAGCCAGCAGTCAAGCCCTGTGCAGTCACTCATTCACTCCCCCACCAGCAAAATTGGGCAGAGAACTGGAAGGGTAAAAGCTGGAAAACTCGAGGGTTGGGATGAAGGCAGTTTAATAGAGAAAGCAGAAGCCACACAGGCAAGCAAAACAAAACAAGGAGTTAATTCATCACTTCCCATGGGCAGGCAGGAGTTCAGCCATCTCCAGGAGAGCAGTGCCCACCACATCTAGGTGTCACTTGGGAAGACAAATGTCATCATGGCCAGCATGCCCCCTTCCCTCCTCTTCCCTCCCCTTTCTACCCTGAAGGTGATGTCCCACGGTCTGGAATGTGCCTTTGGTCAGTCGGGGTCACCTTTCCTGGCTGTGTCTCCTCCCACTCTCCCGAGCACTCCCGGCCAGCGTGGCAGGGGAGAAGCAGAAGAGGCTTTGGCTCTGTGTGAGCTCTGCTCAGCAGCAACTGAAACATCTCTGTGTTAGCATCACTGGGCTCAGCACAAAGCCAAAACATAGCTCCACACCAGCAACTTCAAGGAAAATTAACTTCAACTCAACCAAATCCAGCAAATCTTCTCAATTTTTCCAAATTATGGATTTTCCCCCTAGGTTTTCATACCTCTTAATCACTGATTAGGGTGGCATCTGGGTGGCATTTTCAATACAGAGCATTAAGTTGCATCTCGCAGCCTGCTGAATGGCAGCAGTCTTCCTAATTCTTTCAACCAGAGGAAATCATCCTTGCAGTGAAATTCAACAACCCCATTAGTCCCATCAGCGTTGCAGTCAACTGTACAACAGCACATGCAGAAGACAAAGCCACTGATCCCTTAAAACCAGCAGAAGAACCATCATATAAACAAGCAATGTGAAAATGCTGAGTTTCAGCCAGACCTGCAGAGGTTCTGTAAATAGAGCAGAGGGTGAGGTTCCTCCCAGCCCACAGCAGCAATGACTGCCTTAGCATTAGAGTCAGCACTTATCCAAAACCAAGATTAATAAAACATTTGAAATAAGCAAGTTCTTGTTCAATTTTCCCTCTCCACTTAGCCCTGCTACTATTATAGCCCCCGAGGAAAAAACAATCTGTAATCGAGCCACGCAGAGACTTGATAAATTATTAGTGAGGTTGATAGTGCAGAAGTTGACTTTTTCTAGATTGAGTTCTATCATATTCTCATCACATTGCTATCTTCACACCCAATTTTAAATATGTCTCTGGAAAAATCGCAGCAAACATGTCTTGCATAGAATAATTTCTTCTACCATTTCTTCTGTTTGGCACATCTTGCTGATATATTGCTGAGACTCAACAGTCATAATGATCCAGAAAGGGCAAGAGGAGGAAAATAATGTCCAGCCTTATATTGCTTTTTCTGTTACTCACCCAGAGAAAGCAATGGAGTGTGAAGTTGGGTACCTCCTGGGAACACTGGTAGTGGATTTTGAACTCAGGTCTGCAAGTGTGAAATGACTGTCCAAGGTTTCTGCTCATGTTTGGACCCTCAGAAAAATTCCTTTTTAGTTTTGGGTGGGTTTTTTTGGTCATTTTTCATTTCAGAGATGTTTTAGAGGCAGGTAAGGGAACTTGCAATACCTAGATGAATAATGAAAGAAATATTTGCTGAATTATTTATTTAACACACTGCCAGAACACTGCCATAGCTGAAAAAATGTTAAAGAAAGCCATCAGCTACTTTCAAAAAGTATTGCAAAACTCATCAGATACAATCACAAGCATTATGGTTCTGAAAGACATTGTTGTCTGTTTGCTCCCTCTTCATTGCACCCATGCTGCCAAAGCTGTGCTGCTAACATGCACCTTTCCAGAACCTTCTTTTTATCTAAGTGTCAGTGTAATTGGTATTACTTACTCAAATTTCTGAAAAGTCTAGGAAGGCAGAGGCTTCCATGATGCACTCTGGCAATAATGGTGTAAAAATGGCTGATTTGTGTATTTTGTCCATCTCAAACAAATCAGGCAGAGGCGCTTTTTTTTCATATATGTAGTACTATGCCAATATAATCCACAGGGCTGAGATTGCTAGTTTGCCTGCAGGCAGCATCAATCAGTACAGTAGACTTAAAAAGCTGTCACTTGCTCAGACCACCAACAGAAACTGCCCACTGGTTTTGACTATATTGTGTCAGTGTCCTGCAGGTGTTTCTCAAATAGCATTAAAATATGTTTTAGTTAAATATGCCAAAAAAACATTTGCTGAAATGGTAATTTTCCTACAATTTACCTCAAAGAATTCCTATAATTTTTCACTCCCTTTGCAGACTTCATACACAAACAAAAGATTTGTTATAATTACAACAGTGACTGAACCAGCTGTATGATCCTCTGAAATATTTTGGCAAGGGAGATGGTGTTCTGTTTTCAATATGAAAGGCATTTTTGTAGCTAAGAGCAGATTTTTAAAATATTGAATGTATCACTAAATACAGAAACATGGGACTATTTCTCAGGGTATTTTTGTAGCAGGAAGAGATTTTAAATTTATTTTTTTGTATTTGACACACAAGCAAAAATTAGTAATAGTAAAGCTCTAGAACAGATTTTATTCAAAAGATTTACTAGTTTGTGTGAGGCTTAAATGAGCTTTACATTATTTAAATGATGCGTTCTTGCAATTGAATTCTGTTTTATGAATAATTCTTTTTATGGCATCCTCTCTCAAACAAAATTCTGGATCAGGAGAAGGAAACTAGAAAACAGGAAAGGGATATTTCATGTTTGGTTAGTTTTTCAGTTCTAATTTCTGGAACTGATATGGCCTCCTCTTGATTTTTTATGAGCTCAGGGCTACAATCTCATCCTTCTCACCAAATCCAGACAGTAAGTGTTAACAGTTTCAGTCCCAGTTTCAACTTTACCAGGGTTTACAACTTTACCTTCTCCATCCTGAGAGTGAACTTGGTGTGACTTGATGTGTGTCCACCACGGGAATATTTTCATGGCAATTCTTCTCTTAAAAGTCTAGTAGGAAATGGATACAGGCTTTCATTACAAAATCTCAGATAACACAATGATCATACCACAATTCATGAACCACAGAAATATCCTCCAGAAAGTATTATTTGGACACAGAAACAGGTTTTAGCAAAAACAGAACAAAACAAAATACCTCCAAAAATACCCCCGAACCAAACAAATAACCTTCCAAAATCCTTGATTATGTTCATCATCCTCATAATTTACTTTCTAGATAGACTACTGAGAATGTATTTTTTGGGCACCAACTTAAAAAGATAATTCAAAGTGACCTTTGATAATTCAAAAAGTTGCTCCAGAAACATGCTTTTATTTAGTTAATATGCATAGTATGACAAATGAGCTTATAAATTCACATGGTGCAAGCATGAAATTATAATCTTGTGAATTAACTCACTAGTCATAAAAACCAATCCATGTTTGAAGACTGACTAGAAATCTCAGTGTGAGCACACAAAAAAATTTCAAGTTAAAGAATCACTGACTACTTAGAGTTTGCTTCATTCTCTTACTTAAATCTGCCCACAGACATACCAGAAGTGGAATGTCAGCAAATACATTTTTATTTGCAAGAGTAACTTATGAAGTTCCAAAAATCTGTAAGATTATAATGAAATGGAAGCCGAGAGATTCAATAGTGTCTCTGGCTCAGTTACCAATAGTTAGCTGTTTTAAGAGGCTGCACCTCTAATGAGAAACAGGGAATAAGACTAAAGATAAAAAAAAAAAAAGTACTCACAAACTTCTTTATAAATCTGGCAGAAAAAGAATTCCCATCAACAGTGGGAATTATCCAGCAAACTCCACAGGGTCCTTGGTATTCAGAGTCATTCTCTTTCAGTTCATCTTCCTGCCAATAGTCATAGTATCACAGAATCACAGCAAAGTCTAAGCCCACCACATCATGTGTGATCCATGTTTTTACCAATTTGAGTGCAAGCAAGCTGTTAAGCTGCCAGGATAGCTAACAGTCAGGTCTGGACAGTGTTTCACCTTGGATGTGACAGGCAAGGATCTGTTATACTCCACAGGTATCATCTCCTCTCCCTGTTGACTGCAGGAGCAGAGCAAGTGTGTACTATACAATTTTGTATCTTTAAATTTTGAGTAGGAGACTCTCATTCCCAGTAAAGCAAAATATCCTTCTGTGTCTGTCTTCACATGGACTTCATTTAACAGCAACTCTCCTATTCCAAATCATATAATTTGTGTTTTAGCTCTTCACTGCTCAGAACCTTTGCTTTTCTGGCTCTCTGGAAACATCCCTACATACATGCAAATTGCAATGCATAAATTTATTTTATGGCTGTCCTGGAAGTCTACTTAAATTTAAAAGAGTCCAGTATTGTTTCTGGTTTCTCAGTCCAGGATTGACTGTGTCTCTTGATTATGACCTTTCAATAAATGTACAGGCTCTTCTGAGTGGAGCTGCACCTACTGAACTGCAACAGCTTTGTTGCCACAAGAACACAGCTGATGTGGTCATTTATTCTTTTTATAACTGTGGTTGAGTCAGCAAAAACAACCTGCTTTCTTTCAAAAAAACTTCCAAAACCTCAGGTTATGCCTCTTTGGAACAGGAAAACCACTGGGAAGACACAGTGCCATAAATTCTGTTCCCTTAAAATGGCCTCAGTATGTACTCACATCAGGAGAGTGCTTTCTACTTGTGCCATTGCTTCACATCCTGACTGTTTTTAGCTGGGATACATGTAGTTTTCTCCTTAATAGCTGGTAGAATGCTGTGTTTTGGAAGCTGTGTCAGCTACAGCCACAGCATCCCTGAAGCAGGAACCCTACTGTCCCCCAGGGTATTCTCTGACACTACACCCAGTGAATCATTTTTTCTGTGTATGTGCATGCTGGCATAAAGCCCAGGGAGTTATGGATGTCTCAGACCAGATTCCCACAGCTCTTTCTCCACTCTCTACGACTTTTCGATCTACAAATTTTTGTCATTAAAAAAAAAAATCAAATCAAAACTCATTCCCACAAACTCTCTTGAGTTCCTAAAGCTTTTAGTTCTCCACCACTTCCAGGGCTGGGGAGAATTACAGGCAACAGGAATTAAGTTTTCCTGCTGAGGAAGAAACCAGGATTGAATCCTGCAGGTAATTCCCATCAGATTCACCTAGCAGGGAACACCTAGCTAAGAGATGACTGAAATGGAAGCAAATAGTTAAATGTCTCTCACAGAAGGGTTATTTTTCTGATGGCCTTCAAGAAGTCTGTTAAACCAGTACTTTGCAAACATACGCCCATCCCTTGAACTGTCATATCTTCTTTCCACTGCTCCTATCCTGTTCTCCTCATTTTGCAGTATTTTTCCTTTTTTATTTTATTTG